ACAACAACAACAACAACAACAACAACAACAACAACAACAACAACAACCACAACCACAACGACAACAACCACAACGACAACAACCACAACGACAACGACAACGACAACGACAACGACAACGACAACAGCAACAGCAACAGCAACAGCAAAAACAAAAACAACAACACACACACAAATGCAAAAAACTACAACTCAAAAAATACACTGAGGGAATCCTCCAGTCACTGAGAGTGTGCTTCCTCCCTCCGAGTTTCCTGGCGCGGCTGCGCCATCCCTTGGTGATGCTGGGCAGCTCCGAGTTCTCGGGCCTAGGACCACGTGGACCACGTGGACCCGACGGCAGCCATGGCTGTCGGAGTTGTCTTCTTGTTTTGTTTCGATGAAGCCGACGCAGCTCAGAAGCTGGAAGAACCACAACCGAGCTCCAAAACAAAGCAACTGTTGGAATCAGCAAGAATGCCAAACGCACGTCGTTCTGACATGTGCCAAAACGGGATGTATGTGAGTTTTACCACGTTTTGCCAGTTGTTTGACCTTCCATGCCGCTTGCCTCACGCATTCCAAACATATGGCCCGGGCAGCCGTCGGACCGCCATGGGCATCTTGGGTGGGCGCACCTGGCCGGTCTGCCATGGTCTGCCACTATTGGCTAACTGTAACGATCAAAGTAACACGAAAAATAACGAACACAAAGCGCCTTAAACATCCGTGGAACACGGTGGAACATCCCATTATCACCTTAAGAGTCCTCTCACCTGGTTACCGTGGAACATCCCATAGAACGTTGACACCTCTTCATCATGCGTCCCAACAGCTGCCATCATGCGTCCCCTGTGGGCAATCGCCAGACGGGTTACCTCTGCAACTTGCTTCTGGATGTGTTCACCTTAGGCCGAAGAGAGGTGGTTGACACAGGTTGACACAGGTTCACCTGAGGCTTTTCCAAAGGGAGAGCACTTGTTCAGCCTTGACTTGTTGACCCGTTTCACTTGATTTCACTTGGACTCCTTTCAGGATGTTGAGCGTTTGTACACTAGCAGACTGATCCAGCAAATAAGTACGAGTGATTAGAATCCTAGAGAACAGTCAGGATGTTGTCGTCCGAGTTCTCTCAACACGAGTGTCCTGTGCATTCAACTGACTGCGCGTTACCACATGTTATGACATCCTCGTGTGGAGTGTGTCTCCTGAAACTATCGGTTTAAAGTCCTGACTTGCCAACCCCAATACTTGAAAAACACGTGGAATAAGTTCCGCACGTTCTAAACTAAACATTGCATGAAAAACACATCATCCACGTAACATGTCCAAGGTCGCATAATAATAAACTCTTATATGTGTACTCTTATGTGTGTCTTGGCACTCAGAGAATGGCGTGCATGGATTTTGCTCATGCATGCTCATCCATGTATAGATTGTACAATGAACCCATAGGTTGTGATTTGTACCGTGCCCTCTGACTCATGGCGAATGAATCTACATAAGTATAAGCAGTTCAACACCACTTGCCCTTTCATTTGGAAAAAGGTTTGAAGGCTAAGAACTGAGAACCACACTAAAATTGCCATATTTCGTTGCCATCCGAAGGTTTGTCTCCTGAAGAGCCGAGAGAGCCAACCGATTTAAATGTTCTGGTTGATCCACAAGAAAAGCAATATCACATACTGGAATGAGTGCCAATCGCGCAAGCAGCCTTCTCAAACTCCATCTTTTGAATGAGCAGCCACTCCTCAGCAATCCGAAACACTGTTCACTGACTAGAATATAATGTAACATTAATTATGTACATAAATATATACAGTATATAGTTATAGTTGAGTTATATAATGTTATAGATATTATACAGATTAATTAGTCAAAGGATGCCAAAGGGAATACAGTAAATGGTTCAGCTGTGAGATGAGAGCTCAAAAAAAACCATCCCAATCTTCTCACACACTGCTTTTTATCTGGGTACCCTGACCAAGGGCGTGTATGCCCGATTGTTGTCCATTTGGAGCGTCATCGCTGCGCCTAGGGCTGCCCCACGTGCGGCTCGCAAGTTGGATATATGGTTAGATTATGAATATGTCCAAAGCTTGCTTCGGCAACAAGCTGTGCAGGAACAAGAGAATTTAACTTTTCAAATTCGTCAGTCACTGAGACGAGCACGATTGAGCTCACGCCAGGCCGCTCGTAGCTCACTGCGGGGCTCGGCTCAGCGGGACACTACGCACTTTGAGCCATAAGACTCCAGGGCAATGTGCTGGAGATGGCTGATGTCATATGAAAGTTCCACCTTTGCCCAACTCAGCTTTCAGGGCTTGAACATGTATAATGCGCACCTAGGATTAAGTAACCACCCCCTATTAATCAATCCCAGCTCGACCCCTCCAATATCAAACTAATTTGATCTATGGATTTCCCCCTTGGCATCACCCTAACAACTTTTTTCCTGTGCAGAAACCTCCCCCTATTAATCAATCCCAGCTCTCCCAGAAAAAAGAATACTTGGTTTTATATTTAGTTATTGTCTTTGTTTAACCAATTACTATTCTCAACTGCCTCATCCTGCTCACCAATCCTTTTGATGGCTTCTCCTCAGGTCTCATGCTACCAACCATCCCCCAAAACCCCAAAAACTCTCTAGCAAAAGTCTTTCATTTTCCCTTATCAAAACTCTATCAAAATCTTAACTTGTTCAAGCTCACAAAGGGTACCCCTCACAAAGGCCACCCATTCCATCTTCCTCATCAGTTCACATCCTATCCCATAAGCTCCCTTGGAAAAACAACCCATGGATCAATCTAACATGAACACTCATCCAAAAGTTCTCATGTGGTTTCCAACTCTTCCAATCCTTTCATCCCAACTCTTCCAAATACTAATTCCCTTTCAGCCCAATTCTTCCAAATACTACAGTAATTGTAATTCCCTTTCATTCCAGTTCTTCCAAATAAACTTCCCTTTCATCATCAGGTCATCAGCTTTATTAGGGGGATGTGACGATCTCCCAAACATCCAATCTCAAACCTTGTTGACCTTGTTGACCTTGAAGGGGGGGGTCCTCCTTTATTAATCCTACGTGTGCACTATACACAATGTGGAACACCTCTACTTGGCACCCAAAACACTGGAATCACTGGAAGTTATATTGGTTCCCTAACGTTCCCATGTAATCTATTGATTGACTTGATCCGCACATCCTGATCCTTGGTCCGTTCCTGCGCTTTGTTTCATCCCGCTCCACGCCGGCTGCGTGGTATCCGAAAACCTTGTTCAGGGAGTGGCGTTCTGCTGCTTGGCTGGCGCTGTGGCCTCCGCAAGCGTGACTTCTATGATCTTCAAATCATATCAAATCGCCTTGTCTCAAGCAAGGGCATTGCTACTAGGAACAAGTGCATCAAATCTTGCAGCCGCAGTGCAGGCGTCAGTTCACCAATAAATGCACACATATATGAACATATACATTGAACACCTGGTTGTCCGTCTAAGTCTATACTCTATACCATATCTATACCATTCCAGTGCATTCACATCTGAACCTGCCTATGCACCAATCCGCATGCTGGACCCACGCTGGAGCTTGAAGCATTTGCGCTTGGAAGCCTGAGGCAATGTGACATAATGGAATATCTTCAACCAAAAACAAGTGACCACAAAGCGACCAATAGTGGTACGCGGTACCCTTGACCTACAGCACTTGCTTCTCCAGAATCAATTGGGACCTGCTTCTTGCAAACCAAAATCTAATCATGGAGTTCACACCTAATTCTCAGTTCAATTCTATTACATGGAAGGTTGAGCACACCAATCCAGGAAAACACTTGACATGATGTGACATCTATTAATTGTGCACTTTTTGTTTTATTTATAACAACAACTCCTGTTCTGGACTTAAAAAGCACACCACAAATTCTGGCGTGAAGGGGGACTTAGGAGGGACAACAACGCAAAACGAGAGCGATTTACGATCTTCCTGCTTGACTAGTCAAGGACTCAAGGATGTCACATGTCCGTGTCAAGTTGAACATCAAGCGCTGAGGGCCTGACTCTGCGATATCCAAACCCTCTCTTCTCAAGAGCCGTGCCAAAGAGCCTTGATCGCCCCAAGTGCCGGATCGCTGATCAGGCGCCTCCACAACCTGGTTGTTCGTTGCGGAAGATCGCAGAAGATCTCACGTCGCACACACACACACTGTCACACGAGCCTTGTTGTTGGATATGATTTGTATTTACAGTATGTTATCTATAGACCGCAAAGTAAAGCAAAGTACACATGTCCTGACTTGACACGAGCCCAGACCATCAAGTCATTCAAGTGTCAAAGGCGTCAAAGGCCATGGTTAGGGTTCGGGTGAGATGTGTGAAAAAGAACATGCAAACTGCAGACTTGCTCCTCAAACCGCTGAGTTGCTGTTCTTCTGTCAGGCTCATCTTCCACCTCTCCAAGCTTGAAGAAGAGCTCCTTGGAGGTACAAGCTGAAAGCATCTTTTATATAACCGCTTCTCGCCAAACCAGGCACGAAAACGGGCACCAGTGCAGCTCTTTTTCAACGGAATCGCCAGATGTTGCATGGCCGTGGCTTGCGAGAATGTCTAATTCCGACCTGCCAGTGATTCCTTTCGGTGCTGACAGGTGACAGCTGTAGCATGACAGCACACGGTAGCAGCACACGGTGCTCAGCTTGTGCCACGGTACCAATTCTTAGTACATGTACAAACCTCCGTGACTTTAAACTGTTGGCTTCCTCCATCATCTCAAAGGGCTTTCAGTCAAAGCGCACAGCCGTGCTGTTCGAGTGCAGGATGCATCTAGTATACCGAGCCTGGTGGCATCTGGCTCGTCCGTTTGATCCTCCTCAAACATTACAAGTGATGAAATCAATGAGGGTCAGCTGGTACTAGACTTCTGATGCATGGTTTATGCGAACTCTGTGCCACCAGGCCAACTATATTTTGGGAACGGCTCCACTGGTCAGTTCCAGACTTTAAGCTGCTTGCATGTAGCTTCACAACACCCTCTGAATGTATGATGTTCTAACTCTATGATGAACTCTATGATGGCCACACTTACCATTTATTATCATACAATTATGGCCAACACGGCTCATGAGACCTTACTTGCCCCCAATACAGTTGACTTCATACACCTTTTGCCGCAAAACAAGGACCAAACAAACCGTCTGCGGGAGCCAGGCTGACTGCAACGTTGGCAGTTGGCATCACATCAACTCTTGTTGATGTTGGCAGAGAGGACAGCACCGTGATCCAGGAGCACTCGTAAGGTCTGCGCGGCAGACTCTTGCATCTCCAACAAATGGCGAGTGGAAGCCGCTGCTGACTCTTTGTGATGCAACGCCTGCACAAAGAGTCGTGCTGCAAAATATCTTTAAATTAGTTTTTCAATATGAACAATGCTCAAATATTACGAACAAATATGAAAGCATGATCTTTGGCTTGCTCAGTCCCACAAAGCCTCCGAACTGGGGTCGACACATCGCACTTTTCAATATGCCTGGATTGAACACCGGTTGTATAAACCATTGTAAACCCTTTCACCTTTTCTCGCAGCCTCGCACCATGAGTGAAAAGAACTCAGAAAGTGACTATATATATATTACATACATTGTGGTCGTGTTTTCGAGCCAACAATGAGGCCTCCTTCAACATTGTGGAATGCTCCGCCGCAAACTTGTCTAAAAGTGTATGGCCGCTCCTGCAAAGGATTCAGCATCCAAATGACCAAAGCAATTGCTCTTCCTGATCTACCCAAGTACAGTAACACCAATGCAACTGCTGCCAAAGTGCCCATCTATGGATTTGTTGAGATAGGGTTTGAGGCCGGCTTCCAAAAGTCTCTCCACCTGGTCACCGGGTCAACGATTGGGCTTCGGGAGGTGTCTGGCAACTGGCTGGATCCCATTCTCTAAGTGTTTCACATGAATGAAATCAACTTGGCTCGACACGATACCCTTGACCCCATGTGCCCTTCCAGAATGATCCTAATACCGGCTCTCGACCTGGCTGATACTTGTATGCTATGTTACATCCACAACGGCAAGGCGTGTGGCATCCTTGGGAGTGCCTCGTCTGCGTCCATATTCTCAACGGCCTCGATCAGCTTCTCCTGCCGGCATGAAGCAAAATAAACATGACCCCCAGCACAATGCAAACACCAAACGAATATAAGTATGATGCTATGATGCAACTGTGACCTGACTCATGCAAGAGACGGGACACAAATAAGAAAGAAGCATTCCTTGCAATGATCAAAGGTTTTAGCTAGTTCGGAATACTGTGACCTAAGGTGGGAGAAAATGGAGAATGACAATTCTAGTCCATTGACGTCAAAGAAGACAGAATGATTTGTTGCTGAGGCCTGAGTCACCTCATCATCTTCATCTCCCCATACGAGGCCGCAATTCCCCATGGCTCTGTGCTGCAGAGCGCCCGCCGTTTCCGGACCACATGCACCGGGGTAAATCCTATCAGATTCTTGACCCAGGGAGGCGACGTTACGGCCAGGAGACATGCCATGAAACATGGCAAGCTTGGTACCAAAAGTCCTGGCTCAAAAATGCAGTATTCAGCGCATGCCAAATGCTGCCATGGGACCCGCCACGCTACAATCTCTGCAGGATCAATCTCGCAAATCATCCGCGTCTCTTCATGCTCCTGGAGAATTCACATGGCATCGGTAAGGAAGTGGCCCAGTCCCTGATGTGTTTGTAAACTATGCTGCTTCCACGGCCATGATGGTGCGATCCACACTGACCATTGTTTGTGTTTGTCTCCCTCCCTCCCTCCCTCCCTCTCTGTGGCAAACGAATAATATAAGGTCCACGGCTCACAATTGGCGGGCCGACACCCTTGGCTTGAGGGCCCCAGTCAATAGAGACTTGCCAAGCTTCGGAATGATTCTTCGTGGTACCTACTCCACATGCACCACATGCAACAAGTCCTTGGACTCCACACTGGACTCTTCAGTGCGCGATTCCACCGCACTCTCTTCATGCTGTCGACCTGTGCGGTTGCGTGGACAACGCACCTGTTTCATCCCCATGCCCTGCAGGGTCGAAACAAGCGACCAAACAGAACGACGTGATGAGACAAGTCGCAGTTGGTGGATTCCTGGCTGCTGAATATATAAACAATTTCTTGATGTTGCCGGTTTATTCTGTATCGCGCCTTGGGTCACGGACACCTGCTCTGGTTTGGACACCGGCTCCGGCGCAGGTAATTCGGCTTGCTCAGCTGGCTCTGTTGGCGGATGCATTGGCTCCCGCAGCGGTTCAGGAGGCTCATCCAAACCCAGCAGCCAGGCAGCATGTCCTGCCCAAGTGGCAAAAGCGGTGCGAGCTGGTGGCTCATCTGAGCATGTCCTATCAATCTATGTACAGAGAGAGAGAGAGAGAGAGAGATCCAAAGTTCATCACGACCCGTCGGCGTTCACATGTGGGTATGAGTCGGTGTGAATGACTGGATCCAATGGAGCCACAGCTGTGGCGTCTTCACGGAGTAGCACTTGCACTTGCATTGCGCTCCTGCATTCTTGCCTCCGAGGCAATGCAAACAATGCGGGAGACAAATAGTTGCATGGAATCGTTCTGCAACTTCAGAAGGAGTTCTTGTGTCCACAACATGCGGGCACCTAAGATTTCCTGTTCAGAGTCATGATTGAATGCTAGGCTGAACCAGGAAACATCTTGGCAGCTCAACACCAAAAACATCGGCAAACAGCACAAGGGGTTACAAATGGTTACTGGCGCATGGCTTCAGGAGCAAGTTCATGTCATTTGATGTCACTTGCATTTTGCTCGGGTTTGTAGTGTCAAGTACTCGACCCCGCAGTTTTGGTTCTGTCAATCACGATGATTGGCATGGTTTTTCTTAGCACTTTTGAGTGGCTGAATGCAGCCCTTTGAGGACATGGTGCCTACAGCAACGGTGCAGCCTATGGCAGCGTCGCATCTTTGGGGTTGATTGACCACTCTGCTGTCCAACGCATCAGTAGGCCAAAGTCTCAAGAACAAAAAGGGGCTAACTGCCCAATCAAACCATCTGAATGAGACCTAATGAATGACCCCCCCCAGAAACCCCGAAACTACAGTGGTACTGTTGATTGAAAAAACACAAACCTCCGGCATGAAGATGTTTACAGTATAACCTGGTACTCATCCAGGTAGTGAGGTAGTGGAGGTTTATTGTATAATCAAATAATCAACCGCCGACAGTATGCCCATGCCACACTTCGAGCCTCCGTGCTTCCCTTTGCCCACGCCCTTGTTGCGATAGACCGGCCTGCGACCCGGACGGTGAGAGTGAGCGCTCCAAAAAGATCCAGAACAAAAAGCAACAAACAACAAGTATACGAAAACACGCCCTTGTTTCTCATGTTAATGTTTTTTGCTTTAGCTCGTTACCTAAGCCTATAGACCTTTTTCTTCCTTTTTCCTTCCCTTCCCAAGGCTTCAACGCGCCTCTCCGCTGCCACACGGCAGGGATTGGGACTGGATCCTTGGATGAGATTCTTGCTGTTGAGGAATGATGAGGAATGGACATTAGTCACTAGTGCAGGAACAAGGACGCTTTGCTCGGTGGAGGCCTTCGCAAGTAGGTTGGAGGCCATCGCTACTAATGTCGACCTTTGAATCATAAAGGGATCCGAAATAATGTTAGCCAAGTTGCCGCCGCCCTGATTAATAAAGGGATCCGAAATAAAGTTAGCCAAGTTGCCGCCGCCCTGATTAATACAGGGATCCGAAATAAAGTTAGCACGTTAAAAACAAAAACATATTAAAAAGAACATATTTTAAACAAAGAAAATGAACAACACAAACATGTATATACTGCAAAAAAAACATATATTAAGAAATAAAAGCATGTTCAAAATATGTATTAAACAAATGTTTTACAAACATAATCTATAACTATATGTTAAAAAACTGTTTTAAAACACAAACATATGTATATATAAAGCAGATGAAGCCACCAAACCCTACATATATGTACCCTATATAAATATAGCTAAACACTTTTGTGTACTAAAAATACTTGATTGAATTTGTGTTTAATTGGTTCTATTGATTCCGTTGTTAACAGGTTGCTTCTTTGGATTCCGTCTCAACTAAATCCTTCATCATCAAACCACAAAACCTTCTGACAACAACTCGTTATAAATCCATTATTCAAAAACCATTGACGATTGATCACAACGATTCTGGAAAGGGTTCTTCCCATGAAGCCACCAAACCCTAAATCAAGCTTAACCTAAATAAAACTAAAGAATTTTGTCACTGAAAGAAATGTTTGAATTTGTGTTTAATAGGTTATATTAATTCCCCTGTTCACAGATTGCTTCTTTGGATTCCTTCTCAACTAAATCCTTCATCATCAAACCACAAAACCTCCTGACAACAATTCTTTATACATCCATTATTGAAAAATTATTGAACTTGAACATTGATCACAATGATTCTGGAAAGGGTTCTCCCCATGAAGCCACCAAACGGACCAAACCCTAAATAGAGTTTACCCTAAATAGAGCTAAATAACTTTGTGTACTGAAAAACACTTGATTGAATTTGTGTTGTTTAATTAGTTCTTGTCATTCCTTTGTTAACCGATTCTTTTCCTTTTCATTCCTTTTTAATTCAATCAATTGAATTTAAACTTAATTCTAATTTGAATGACTACTAATTACTTAATTCCCTTTATTTTACTATTGATTTTAATAAGGGATAATTTCATGTCTAATTAAACATATTTCTTGGAACCTGAAATGAACTTTATTTAGGGCCGACCAAAATTTCAAGATTTGCCACCCCTGTTTATTAATCAGAGAGAGGTCAACATTAGGAACAAGAAGACTAGTCCATCAGGGTGGCAAAGGATACAGGTGCCCTTGGGCACCGTAAAATCAAGTGCGGACATCTTGTGGCCACCTGAGATGCCCGCCATTCACCACTTTTGGCTCCTCTCCGGCCAGCTGCCTGACAATCGTTGCTCCAAACGTTGGATAGGCTTCCAACTTCTGTCTTGCGGGACGACCCAATGAGTTTCAGGATGTGAGCACGTCTTCCCCCGCTGACCACGCCTGCACTCTCCAACTTGGATGAACCTCTTCTCATCTCTAGGTTTGTCAGGCATGCCATGGATCTTGTGCCCTGCAGGTGGCAAAAATGAGGATCCAGAATCCAGGCGACGCATCTATAAGCATCATGAAACATACACTTACACAGTATATTTATATAATACAATATATATATAATATATATATATGTAATATACATATGCTATGTATATATATATACACATAAATCCACAGCATTGACACACGTTCAATTTACACTCCCGAGCCTTCTTCATGACGTGGTGATTCTTCTTCCTGACCTTCATCGCTTGGCATGCAATCTTGGAATGGTAGATAGACAAGCACAAAGGCAAACAACTTCGTTGATTGGGTGAACAGAGTTGCCGAGCTTCTGAGTATCGGATCACCGCCAGGAGAACCCAGCCTTGGTTTGCTCAAATGGCCAAACGGCTAGTGGCCCTTCGATCAGATGCTTGCGAGGCCGCGGGGAGAGCGCAAATGATTGTGGTGTGGTGTGGAACCATGTCTGTATACTATGTATGTCTATAGCCTATAGTCTATACACAATCTTCTCTGATCGATTCCAGGGTTGCCGCTGCCAACTGTATGACCACCCATCACCCTTTCTAGCTTTCGCCCTGAGGTGTATGTTGCGCAATTGCCAGTCACCAGGTCTCCAACAAGGCTGCCACAATTGCATTGTCTTTCACCTCCCGCCAAGATGCCAAACAATGCGACATGAAAATGCCTTTGTGATGCATTTGTGCACTTCACTCTCACACTCTCACAGCTCTCACAGCTCCAAGAATACTATAAAGAGCTGCCAATGGTGGCATTTGACCCTATTGCAACTCAAAACAACGAACCGTCGCTGTCACACCACCGCCTCGTCGGTCCACCTGCGCTCGTCTGACAAACGACAGCGAACCGGGCTGTGGACACATCGACGTGGAAGCGCGCCAATCGCTCAACCAAATGCTGGGAGACAAGAGTTCACTGCTTTCGTTCAAAGAAAGCTGGAGAATGGCTGCAACCTCCATTGCATGAATATAGTATAATGTAATTAATCATATTATATAGTAAGTAACATAGTATAATATAATACGGTATACGATTCCATCTCAGCGCTTGTTGTGTTCGAAAGCGGCTTGGGAGCCTCAGCTGGTCAGGCGCTTAGCTGTCTAAACCCACGTGGGCATTCTGCCGACAAGAGCCAAGACAATAAGGCGAGCAAACTGAGGCGATTTCTGTGCAAGGACACATCATCTACCACTAAGGCCCTTTCTTGTGCTGTACAATGGGCTTATGTCTCCAATTCAAGTTTCCACAACTTTCGATTAAGCTGCGTTGGGCTGAAATTATGCTCATCCCCGATTGCATCAAATTCCCTCTTTGCCTGTTCAGTGTTGACGCCCAGCTCATTGCAAAGCTTCAGAGCTGTATTTTTGCCTGTGGCCCCGATCAACGTCACGATTTGGAAGTGATCGGGCTTTACTCTGCTCTCGACTACCTGTCGGAAGATGTCACAGGCAAGATCCGGTCGCTTGGCCTTGGCACAAGCCTTCAGCAACGGAGTGAAGTCACGGGCATGCAAAGCAGTTGATAGCTCCTTCACTTTCTTGTGCCATCTCAATGCCCCGGGCAAATCAGAAGCATTGGCATATGCATTCATCATCATACTGCAGTCCTTGTCGCTCAGCTTAAGACCTTCTTCAATCTTGAGGCGTAGTTTCTCTTCTGCCTTCAGAGGCTCGCCCATTTGAGCGTACATGTCGATGAGAGCACCAAAGGTATGCTCTGATGGCTGCAAGCCTGACCTTGTTAAATTATCGAAACACTGTTCGGCTTGCTCGCACCACTTTTGAGTGTCCCCTCGATACTTTTGAGCGGCACGGGTGGCAAAGGCACTAATCAGGACATTGAAATGGCTCAAAGTTGGGGTCATGCCTCTTCCGTGCATTTCATGCATGCACCATTCAGCCCGCTCCGTATCCTTGGCAATGCCGTAGGCATCCATCAAAACACAAAAGGTCTTCTCATCTGCTGGAACGCCACTAGATTCCATGTCGTGGAACCATCTTTCTGCATCATCCAGTTGCTGAAGTTTGCCAAATGTATTGATGACAATGTTGTAGCAGTACACATCTGGCACTAGACATTCCGCTTTGATCTTCGAAAAAACCTGGAGCACTCCATGAATGTCACGTTTCCGCTGTAGCTGCTTCATGTCATCGGCATGATCTTCAAGAGTTTTGTGGGCACCAAGCCCTTGACTCCCAACCGTTGCACTCCCGCTGGGCAAGCTTGGCCTCCAACGCCTAGGATTCGCATGGCCTGATGTAGAGCTGGTCAAGGCAGAAGAACTGCGTGGAGCTATTCCAACCATCGGTGTGTGGACTCCTGTGTGGATAAAAGTTCGCTCCACGGTGTAGATTGGAATGTCCTCTTCTAGGGCTACCTCCTGAGCTCTTGGGCGTTGTCTGCATGGGAGGTTTTCCTGAAGCCACCCCAAGAGGTCTTCAACATCCTCTTTCAGCAAAATCACGTGCCACGGCTTCAGCTCAAGGCGAAGTCGGATGAAGTCCGCAACTTTCATGCCTCCGACCATGATCTTGGCACCATTCGCCCAGGTGGGTTCAATATCGACTCCCCGACTTTGAGCACTTTTCGCCACTGGCGAGCAAAGGACTTGTGTCCTCCAAGCCTCATTGTGCCGGGAGAAGCGCAAAATGGTCACCTCCATGTTCGCAGTCATGACACACAGGGATGGTTCAGCCACTGGTTTGAACCATTGCAGGAGAAGTTTCTTAAGACTTAAGACTGACTACTACGCAGCACACACTTGAAAGGGCCAGCCGGACAAAGGGCCTCGTGCTGAAAATGGAGTTGGCATCCGAATCCTGGTAACACACAGAAAGCAAACAAGGAAAATTGCATTCTTGAAAATGTGCGTGCCTCAGCTAACACGACAAGTTGAATTGCACAATGAACACCCACCCACTCGGGGTCTTCCCTTTTCAAAACCCGGTTTGAAAGCTGCCGTGGAACTTCTTACAAGGCCTGCGTAGATTTTGGTTGTCACCCGCTGATGGGATGGCTGCTCCAAAAGAGCCATCTTCCGCCTTCATTGCCTTCTATTCACAGGTGTTGATGCATAGCAACATGCTTCCGTGTCACGATGTTTACCTGCAAGTGGGCTCCCCGAAGGGGAGAACAAGCAAAACTGCAAGTCCTGGATGCATTGAGCGATCTCCGATCCAGTGTCTGCCGGATCTGCAAAGGGATCCCATTCCTGGCATTGCATGACGGATCCATGTGCTTGGCAACGTCCCAAATGGTCCCTATATTGCAGCAAATGTGTCACCTCCATGGTGGCCAGCTCCAGGCGGAAAGCCGCACACTCATTCCACTAGACCTATGCCAAAGGCCATGATGGCCATGAATGCATTATTCACGCGTGTTTTTGCGGCCTTTCCATGCTTTTGCCAAGTGCCTGGTCAAACAAACACTGCAAGCCCTCATGGAGCAAAGGTAGAACAGGGGCTACTACCCTGCATGTTCCAATGTTCCAAACACCCTGTCGACATAAGAAAACAAGGTTGTGCTGGGGTTACCCTGGCACCGCGGCAAGCATAAAGCCTGGCCACAAACCTGATCTTACTTAACATTACGCAACTATCTTTTCTTGCGGACGTATCTGACTAATTTCTAGATGTCTTCTTGCTCTGGTGACCTGAGACAAAATACTGCCCTTGTTTACTATTTGATGTAATCAATTATCAATGTATGTGTTGCCCTTGTTTGGCACTTGAGCCTCGGAAGCTTTGAGCAGCATAGGAAAACTCGTGCACTTGTGCATAAACAACCACGCGATATCACAACTACAGTAACTAGCGTGGCACTTATCTATCAACATCCGACGACACGAAGCTTATCTCCCTAGCTATCAGAAATTCTCAATAATGTGTGGAATTCAATGAGCTGCTAAGGCCAATAGCGAAAGCCCTTCGGAACTTGGCGGCATCAGCCCTACCCATTTTAAATGGCTTGGCATCTTCAAAGTATACCTCCGTGAGCCCCCATGGAAACCATTGTGGGCCATTTTGGGCTCAAAGCGTCAATTCCGATGGTGCGTCAAAGCCTAGAAGCATTCTTCTTTGGAATGCTTATTGATAGAGGGACTGCTCAGTATCCCAAAGCCACCCCCTGAAGCTACTCAAGTTGCCTTGGCAAAAAGAAAGTACCGGCGGATTTTGCCCTCGTCTCGCATTGCAAGGGCGACGCAGCTTTAACAAATAAAAAGGTTGAAGGGAGCGGTAGAAACCACAACTATCTTCTTGCCAAGCAGCTCAAATACCACATCCACACCGTCTGCACCAAATCACCGTTCTTGAAATAACGGTCGCGTGCAAAGTCAAAATGCAGGCTGGCCTACAAATGCACATTGAACTCTCAAAGCCATTCTATGTCAGGAATCATGAAAGTCCCGCAGTGCCACCACATTTTTAGCAAAAGAACATCGACCACATGGGCACAAAGTAATGATAAGTAGTGCTTTGTACAGTCAAACATGTCTAGGCTGTAGGCTTGCCCGGCTTGCCCCGAGTCCCACATGAATCTCCAAAACTGTAGAAGGAAGGCCGGAAGGCCCCAGTGTTCCCTAGACTGCAAACTGCTGCAGTTCGCCTGAGAATAGATTGCCATCTGGTAGAGGATGGATCCCATTTGAGACAAAAGCAGTGCTCCTTCTGGGGTGTCACCCAAACCAGCTTTGAGCAGCGCCTTGGTTTAGCACGATGTCACCCATCGAACTTGTCATTTGTTTACTGCCTGATGTTTCATGAAGCATGATGGACTTTGTTCGAAACATGAAGTGACGAAACTGATTTCCAACAGCGTTTGTGTGACTTCCAGCACTCACGTCGTGTGGGATGGTGAAGGCAGTGCGGTAGGGAAGCCCCGAAGAGAGCGGGGTCAAATCATGGAACTCTGTTTTGAACGTCTGTTGATGGAAACAATCCTGACAACCTTCCCAAGTCAAATCAAAAACATCAATCGAAACGATACAGTGCGGTTCACACCTTACATGACTTACATGAGGTATAAAAAACACCCTGATCGTCTCAGTACGTTTCTGTGCAGTCAACTTTTTGCAAAGCCTGCTGACATTTTGCCTGATCGTAGTGAACGTCCATTGACTATGTTTGCAAATTGTTTGCCCTGCCACTGCCACCTTCTGTGCTTGCTTCATATGCGAGAACCCCTGTTCGAAGGCTCCTTGCACACGCTTGCTGTGTGTCAAGAACTCACAGTGCAAACTCACATCTTTAATTTGTTTAAATGTTTCTTGGTGCTCAATTGTGCAGCACATTCCCTGCGGACATATACGGTGAACACTCTCCGCGACACTTTGATGCACTGCACGGGTCACATTTTTCATGACATGAATTGTTGTTTTTCTCTGTTTTCCGTCAAGGACATAGCAACCTGGCAAAGTACTGAACGGGCTGTCCTGCTCCAACGCAAGCTGCTCCCATGCTACTGAGGATATATGCTTTCATTTGATCATCACCAAGGGCATCAAGGATTTCGCTGGCCTAATGCGTCAGGCTGACAATTCTGTGGAAGTCTTCCAGCTTGGGACTACAAAAAGCACACGCACACTTAGATCAATGCTCGCAAGAGCTGTATCAGTTGTGATCTTCCACTCTGGTGATTACGCTACCAGCTTAGAGCGCTGAAGCCTGAACCTCTGCACATGGAAATGCAACATATGAGACCGAATTATATATGGTGGGTGGTTCTTTGGTGTGGTCAAGTTCCTTTTTAGACCAGTGTTGCCACACACACACACACCTGCAAGATCCTGCAAGTGAAGCCAAAGTAGGAGAAACAAATAAGTTTCCAAACATCAAACTCAATAGTTCAATTCAACTGGTGAACAAAATGATCAGAATGTGTTTCATCAAACTTTGCGAACTTCCGGTGGATGGACGGCAAGCACAAGCCGGTCCCTGGAGTCCCTGTCAAAACCAGCATATCATGCCTCACAATTTACATGTCTACTGTCTATGTAAGGCGGGGATTCAAACACGAACATCGCAGAACTGCAAACTGGAATTCTCTCATTCCCAAATCAATCCCTGCCTCATTAAAGAAAAGCATTGCATCCTTTCTCCGGCCAATGGCAGAAGCAGCAATGGCCATATTTCCGGAGACGGTGACTATTTCCGGGTTCTTCATATCATTGTGCTTCCTGGGTTCACCGTGCTCCGCTCAATCACCATACTATACCGAATCCATGTCAAAAAAATTGCAGTTCAGGCAATTGAAACCCTGTTCAGTCACCAGCTTTGCCAAGGCTCTTAAAAATGTCCCTTGCCCGCCCAAACTCCTCACAGTGAGGAGGGTGGCACTGTAAACACTTTGCAAGGAAGTTCTCTTTTGTCCACTTTGAAGCGAGCGCTCCTGCAACGTCTCTCCAAATCGCTTCAGATGGGCCTTGAGATGCAGGAAAACGTCTTGGGCTTTGGCATGTCACACATAACTTACCACAGGAACTGTGGTCTCAGCATGTCTCAGCAGCCTGGTGGTCTCTCCTGCACTGACCCGTGACCGTCCGTGACCCCTGACCCCTGCACCTCCTAAATAAAAATGAGGGTTTGCGAAAGTTTAATACAATTCCGACACGCTCAAACCAATTTGCTTCATGATATGACCAAGGGGCCAAATATCTTTTGGATGCTTTGAAGGCTTTGCGTCAACGCTCTTCTGACGAGTACACAATTTGGGGGTGCGCCCAGCACTGTTTGGGGTTTTGCACACCCTAGCATCTCATTTCTTGAACGCAGTTACTGTAGTTTGGGGTCGTTCTTTTTACAGTCGTCAAGTGCATGAAAGTTCTCTCCAAATCGTTTGATTAGCTCCTACTCAAAGCATCCAAAAGACTGGAGAACAAACAAACCAACGCACGCAAGCACAACACCATCAACGTATATAGTTGTTGTCTAGTCTTCATCAGTCTTCTCCTTTGTCAGTTTTCACAAGCTCTTTTCTTACATTACTAAACTGCCAGGAAAAATGCTCCAAATGAATGGTCTTGTTCTGCACCATTGGCCACAAATGAACATAGGGCGTTTGGTCCGGTATCCCCGACCAAAGTGGCAGTTTTCGTTGGCCCTCAGGATGTCGAGCTAGGCTGGTCCACATGAGTGGAATTTTGTTGCACGCTGCATGCGGAACAGTGCAATGGATCTCTTTGGAGCATCTGCAAGCTGCAGCCCTTGAAGCGCCTCCCCAACAGCCTCCCCACCGGCACTCTTCGATCCATGTGGCGAAGGTGGCGCCACGCTGCATGAAGTACCCTGCGGCCAAGTTGTCCGGAGATCCGGCGGCTTCCAGGAGCTCTTCAGCAGATGCTAAGGCCCCCAATGCCTTGAAGGACACCGGGGCGTGTTTTTTTTTCACGGTGTGAGCGGATTCCACGGATTCGGATTCTGCTTTGTGGATCACTAGGAGGAAGCTACGAACGGAACAAGAAGCTACTATATAGCAGCTCCTGGCTGTACTACTAGCAACGAGAAGCTACTAGATCTACTAGTAACAACTTGGATTCGGATTCTGCAGGTTTGGATCGCTGATCGCTGGATATTGAGCCAAGAAGAAGATCTTCCATTTCTTCGAAAAGCTGCTCTCTGATGCGCAGGATGCGCGCAGCAAAAGACTGGACAAGGTTCCAGGTGGGTGGTTGGGAAGCCTGTGCTGTCAAAAAGTCGACAAACATCGTGAAGGGCCGGGCCTTCTCGTGTTCCCCTTGACTGCTCATCTTGGCTGCAGATTCCATTAGCATCTCGACACCAAGCGCAAACTTTGTCGCCTCAGTTGTCACGTTCCAACCAACTCCATCTGATCGTTTGGGCACAATTTGGTCCATAATAGTTATATGGATCAACAGCTATATTATACGTCACTCCATGGAAGCTTGGAAACCAGAGCTGAGCAAATCAAATCCTTTTCAAGGTGCAGCACCCAGCTGCTTGCCATGCCAACCCACGTTGTGAATTTAAAGAAGGTTCACAGCCAAGGAGCTGCTTCAGCATCGCTGCCTGACTTGGTCTGAAGCTTGGACCCGAGCGAAGGATGCAGATGCCACATGATCTGAGTGCAGCCAAGGCACCCACAGATCCCACAGCCTGCAGTGGGCAAACAGTCCTGGCCGTCAAGCACGAGGCGTAACAAATGCAAGCCTTGAGCCGTCAAATGTATGTTTCAGTATGTCTCTGATCAATGTAAGTTGCCCTCCCAGCATCCATCCTGCGATTGGCTAGTGCAAACGACCGGTGGCTTGTCAAGCAAATCAGGAAGGCGATGGTCCCACCTGAGTTGGGCAAACTTAATTGGTATTCTAAGAATTATGTCTAAGTGCTTTGAATCTCCTTCCAGGCAGGATCAATGTCAGTCCCTCGTCTGATCCGATACTGCTTGTTGGAGCTGGATTGACACACCGTTTCTCGAGGAATCAATTTGAGTGATGCCGATGCTACTAATAGATTGAACATGAAACTCAATCCCGGTAGGCTTCCAATGAAGCTTTGCTTTCGAAAAGGGCCAAATCATCATCATTAATTCATGTTGATTGCCGCTTACTTTTGTTGTCACAGCAACCGCACACACAACACTGCTGCCATAAAGGCGCAAACGCACTGTCAGCCAAAAGGCGAAAGAATCTAGACCTCCACCGACTGCTTGTCTGCAAGCGCCTTCGTTGGTGCAAGCGAGGATTCCCACAAGTTTAGGGTGTTGAGGCGATGTGAAACTCCTTCCTCATGCGTTCTGCATGCAAGAACCTCTCAGCGCCACCCCCGACATGGCTGCAAACCTCCAAATCAATTGCCAGCCCATGGCGGCGCTTCCGGTTTTTGGCTTGATTGAAAAATCTCTGCTAACTGTTAAGTGATTTTGCTGCTACAGTATATTATAAATGCACACAACTTTATAAACGGATCCACGCTGCAAACCCTGTCTATATTCTTCGTGGTCGGGAAACGAGCTTTAAAAGGCCTGCCAGCTCTAGTAGCTAAAGGCTTTGCCTGTTGGCCTGGACCAACACATTGCCGGTCACTTGGGATGTGTTCCAAAGCTTCTTGAGACACTCATTCATGTAAGCTACACATGTACCGTAAATAAAAAACACATCTGGCATACGTTGGTCCCTGCATACAGCATGACCATACGTAATTACCGACCCAATTAACTACTTTGATTAACACTTGCTCCTGAGGTCGTGGCTTAATTCCTGGCATGAGACCAGTGAGCCAAAGAGGCTCCAGAAGTGTACGATCCATATTGAACCAATCAGCAGCACTGTAAGTGAGTCCTCTGATGGGAAATGAGTGCAAAACATCTAGCACTGCAAACCCTGCACATTCACTAAAGAAAGAGTACAGTAGAACTTCTTATAGAACAGGTAAAACACAAGGTGGCTTGCGAGCTTTTCACAAGCTGTTCTGGCTTCAAAAAGGGCTATGTACAAATGCCAATTTTCAGGCACTGGCCCAAATGCTTTTGTTACATCATCCTTGGTTGAGCTAAAAAGCTTCAACATGCCCGGTCTGCATACTTCAACGCTGGAAGCCCAGTTAGCCTGCGTTCTAGAGTCTAGTCACCTACAGGTTTGCTGCTTGTGGCCTTCACCGCAGCAAAAGCCTCGAAAGCCATCTTTTCACAAGCTTGGCAATGAACTTGAATCACTCACAAAGACAACGAGTATACACACTGAGAGCCAAGGCATTACCCAGTTTCTTCTCTTTCTTCTTGGCCACTCTCTCACGGGCCTGGTCTGCGCTCACATCGCGGATCATGAAGTTAAAAAGAAACAGCACTGCAGTGCTCATTTTCACCTCTTCCCAAGGCAACTGCATAATGGCTCTTGTTGTTTTCTGTTTTGTGTGGTTCACTTAAGTGTGTTTGTCGTGTTGCTTGATGAACACTTTAGTCATATATTTCTTGTCACTACTACTACACCCAGTCGAACTCAAACCATTTTCCAGTCGAACCAGGGATCTTGCTGCACCAGCCGCTGGCGCCATGACACCTGGCCATCCGAATCGAAGGATGCTTCAGGTGGCACCGCCATCACCGGTGGCCTCGTTGTCGCATGCGGACCGCCATGCCTTCCAAACGGTCTTTCCTTAGGTGGGAACGACTAGTTGGAGGGTGCCTTTATCAATGTCCCAAATATACAAGTCCCTTAGAAACGGTTTCCAATACACTTTAATTAAGTGGGGATCTGCTTTTCTACCTCTCTCTCTCTGTCTGGCGGGCATGACTCATCCCGGAGTCGCTTTTCTACCTATTTGGGGGTCTAGAATGGTCTATATAAGACCCTTTTCAGCTGAAACCAACCACCGAGATAGAGCCGACGCGTGCGCGTTCTTTGCGCCGACGCGCAGGGTGGTTGTTTCGACCTGAGGACTCGGCTCCTGAGCAATGATCTCTTTGGCCTCTTCCTCCCTTTTGGGAAAGGTCTCCTCCTTCAGAAATGAGTGGGCAACACACACACATATATATATATATATATTTATTTATAAGTATCATGTCAGGCAGCTGCCTCACTATGTATACCACCTAAAGTTAAAGCTTCTTCCAGATCTTCTTAAGCTTCTGGCTGCATCACTTCCATAGACATTGTGTTCTTCACCTGGCTCACTAGGGTTCTGGCGCCCAGCGGTGCACTTCGATCCCCGCAGAGCAAGCAACTTTTGACAGGGAGACTGGCAGCATCATCTCCATCCTGCACATTGCATAGTATACAAGCTAAACATAGAACTGCCACCAAACCAACGAAATGCGGCATGTAAAGCACAAATTCTTCATGCCACGAGTGCCACGAGCATGACCTCCACTCGACAATGAATCTCAAAGAATTTGGCGATATTAAAAGACCCAGGTGGACAAACACATTGGCAACAAGCAGCACCAGAACGAGGATTCCAACGTAGCGACTTCAGTCAATTCAAATCCACATTATACTGCCACAATATCTGGCCTTACCAATTCTTGGGCCTCTCATGTTTGGCGACTATTATGGTCTACAAAATCTTATTTAAACTGAATGATGCATCGATGTGCCAACGAGGATTTGTGCCAGTATTGGACCGGGGCAGATCGAACATTATGGGTGTTGAATTACGCTGAAGGGTGCTAATCTTGACCAGATTGAATATTTGTTGAATTAGTAGTTTTTGTTTAATAGGTAGCATCATAATGTATCACATTGTGCAATAGCACGTCGGCCGCGAGCTGGCCACAAATGCCATCGCGATTTTTCACCGTGCTGACTTTGCAATGCCGGGACGCACAAATGGTCATCATCTGTCAGTCTGTCACTCTCACCATCACATATTGCGAATGCTGCTTGCTTCTGCAGTTTAGTGTGACTCAGCTTTGGCATTCGCGCACCCCAGCCATTGGCAAAAGGCTGCAGCACTGCAGCAGCTGTAGCAAAATGGAACAGCTTGACCTCCCTTCGGAGAGCAAGCACAGCGACTCAGCCGCAGAACAGCTTCACAATGCACAAGCTTGACTCGCTTGCTATGGCTCCACAGGAGTTCACGGCATCCTCCAGTCGTGAGCACATGCCCTGGATGAAGCCTTAAACGGCTAGTATCCAATTGATCGCTTGTCTGCCCTGGAAACTGAATAATACTGTACAACGCTGTACACGCAAACACTTTATGTACAACTTCTGCGGATGGATCTGAAGGCCACGAGGACCTGAAGGAGGAAGCACTTCCTCGCCTCGTGAAGCATCTCAGTCGGGGACCTCGCTGAAGGCCACACGCTCTCGGACTGAACGATTTCCTAAGCTGGAGAAACTTCACCGGAAGCTGCTTCCTACCGGGTAAGCTTCGGGAACATGAACCAACTGAATCAGGCTCCACATGCTCACTTACACGGTATATAAATGACTCCGAAAATCCAAATGAAACATCAATACAGTCAATATAAATATCCCTTTCGTAGGCTTGGGGGGTTCTCCCAAGTATTTACCATAGTAAATAAATGTAAATAATATCTCTATGATAATGCTGCCAGGATTCTTCTCCGCACCGGAGCCTCCTCCGGTTCGGACCGCTCCGGAGAGGACGCTGAGGGCTGCGCATGGCTCGGGGAGAGATTCAGCGAGGCCTCCGACCAAGGAGCGAGCGGAATCGTCGGATCGACATAGTCTGCACAAATCCTGAAGTATCCTCTGACCCTTGTTTTGTAGAATGCAAGGTGATGCAAGGAATCCATTCCATTCAATTCCTAGCAGAATGACGCATCAAGAACAAACCCTCTCGCAGCTACAACTAACGTTTTCATCATTCACTGTCAACAGGTTGGGAGAGAAACACAACAACACCCTGACATAAACAGCAAGGAACAAAACCAACATAAACCAACCATATCCAACCCGTTGGTTCCTCTCTCCACCGACTCGTGACTCGGTTCTCCGTTTCGCTCCTGTGGCTCCACCGACTCTGTTTCCGAACTGCTCGGGGATCGCATGGACGCGTGGCTTCCCCGTGGCGAGGTGGCGTTGGGCAGAAAGTCCTCTCCGGCTCCGCCGAATGGGACGACGTTTTCGGCGTGTGGGGACATCCAATGGGTCTCGAAAAGCACAAACCAAGGAACGAACGCGCAGGTTCGCGGCATCGCGTTCTTCTTCATTAGTAAATCAATCTGTTCAATTATAAGAAGCTTTCCATCTCATAGCTCTCTTCACACCTTCTCCTTCCGACGGGGGAGGCTTTAAACATGCGCATGCCGCATGCCCGTCCTCGTGCAGCGTAAAAAGAGATCTCCGTTTTGCAGGAGTCTCAGTGGCCTGATTGCAGGATGTCAATCTAATCGGACATTCTGGTGTTGCATCTTGCGTGTGTGTGAGTCCGGGCATCTCTCATGGTAACAAAGCCTTCCCGAAAGCATCTCTGATTTGTTTGTGGCTTGTCGTCAGGTTCTCCCCCAAAGTCGTTGGTCAATCATGGTCAATCAAGGTACCAAAGTGGAAAAACCAGGCCGCCTCACCTGTTATGTTTTGACGTTCCATCTGCTTAGACACAACAACTCGGACAGAAGATCTGCAGGTGCACCTGCTGCCACTGCAAAGTGTTGAACAGTTTCACCAAATTGTAACCTGACACATCACATACCGACGCATCGTTTTTTGTCAGGCAACAAGGGTGTTCACATCATGTCATGCCATGCCAAAAGAAGGACAAAAGGGCAAACATTGTTAAAAGAAGAAAAACATACAAACACATGAAGAGCAACATTCCCACCACTGACTCTGCATAATCCAACACAGAACGGATACAAGTGGCCAAGCGGCAAATTAAGGGCACCGAGGCCAACAACGGCCCCAGGACCACGCCGGCCAAGCCAAATTGCCCCACGCCCAAGACCACTCCAAGGCCGGTGAGCCATGCATTGGCCTCTGGGATCTCAGCATAAATCACCGTGGGCACCTCGTCGACGAGTGGTCCGCCAACGAGATCGTCGTGGGCCGTGGGAGTGTCGAGCGTTTGAGGTCTGTGACAAGCGGAAACGAAGGACGTGTTTGAAACATGTTGAAACCGTGTTTGCTTTGCTGTCCTTGCTTTCTGTAAGGAGGTGAGGAGGTTTCGAAACATGCTCTGACCTGATGATTGATGGTGATGACATGTCGATGAATACCCCAAAAGTGTCAGCGAATCTACGGAACCAACATGGGCACAGGAATATGATGGACATCGATGGACACTGAGAAGAAGATGGGGCAATATGATGTTCAAAATCCACGAGGCCTGCCACCACACTGCCACATTCAGCAACAAATACCTCACATGTTTTTGAGACTCAGCACTGGACTTACAAAATGCCACAACAGTGACAAGCTCTACTCCTCAAACTTCATCTCTCCTCAAACAGTGCGGTTTCCATCAGTTCTGCCAGGGAACACGGCCGCAGTGATCCACTTGCCATGCAACCAAAGGTAAACAGCTGCCCAAAAGGACACGCTCCAGACCGGTGACACCTTCGGCACCAAAGCCAAAATGGCGGACAGCACCGTGGGCACCACCACAATGGGTAGCTGACCAAAGGAATAAAGCAGCCAAGTAAATAGAGCCTCGCCCAAACCGGAGACCCTGTGGCTGCCAACAGAAAGCCCACAACAATCCATTCCCCCCCCCAAACATGGGCGACCAAAACGGGTCCGATCTTCTCAAACATGCCATGAATACAGCCACGAACAATCAAAAGCCTTCGGAGGCCCGTGGGTGTTTTTGCTGGCCCGAGCCAATTGTATATTGCATATTGCAGTTTACCCTAGTATGCCCAACTTAAACAACAGCTATTGCCGCTGTCAGGCAAACGCCACTGTCAGGCCACTGTCAGACAGTATGCCCAACTTCTGCATTTGTCCCAACGGCAAAACCACGCAGCTGAGCTGCGTGAAAGGCCGACATCTTCATAGCCGACACAAGCACCGCTCGCATCACTCGTTCAGTGATCTTGAATATCACCTGCTTGTGGTCCACCACACGGAGAAACTCCTCGTCAGAATCAAAAAACGCATGAAGCACTAGTAGCTCACCAGCAGTCAAACCCACGTCAAGCTTAGGGCGTTCAATCTGTGTGCAAGCCAAGTGTCGCCCACGACTGCCAAGCATGACTCTTCTGCAGACAAAAGGTAGAACAGCGCAGTCATAAAAACCACGAATTGGCCCAAAGCGCACGAGGCGGATGACAGCAAATCCAGCAAAACACGCGGGAGGAAGTATGTCAACCTCAAAATGCTGACCAAACGACTGACAGGTGCTTACAGGTGATGATGGCATCAGGCCCTTAACTACCCAGCTTACAAATTGCTTCCTCTTTGGACATGGAGCTGTACGAATAAAGTTCCACCATAGGCGGCCCTATCTTTCAAGGCTTCTGCAGCACTGCTCTGAGACGAATCGCCTTTCAACCTGTCAGCAAAGAGTGCTTCGAACCACCTGCACTCGGGGGGAACGACCCAACAATTCGCCAAGAGTGCTTCTCAAGACAGTGTTGTTCGCCACATATACTATATATATACATTATATATGTATAAAATATATTCACCCCAGCCCAGCATTCCCACAGGCAGGAAAGCAGTGCCGGTCAAACCATGTGACCCTGCTTGAAAAAGGTGGCACCTGCACCTCACAGCACATAATAATGAACGTCTTAGATGTGCACATGACAGAACTCAAAGCAAAAAAGCACAGTTCATTCAAATCTGGACGCAGGAATTGTCCTATCATGTTACATGTTGGCATCATTGGCTTGCAATTTGCTTGTCATTGGCCTCAGCCCGAGAACATGAGAGCCAACATACCCAAAATCCGTTAAAGAGCGATTGTTCGAGCCTTTATAACTAATACAAGTAAACCTTGCCATGTAACCTAGGAGGAAAATCTGTTGCAAAAGCATCCAAGCAACAACGAAGAGATCGAAGACACTTCTGAGTAGGCACCCGACAACAGTGAGGCGATGTCAGTCCAATTGCCAGCGACCAACCCGTGGAGAACTGCAGTCGTGTTTCTCAGTGCGTGCTGCATCACGATCGTCTCTTCTGCCTCGCATGACCCGACCCTTTCGGTTGGAGATTGTCACCAGTCTTGAAGATGTATAGTGTTGGACTGAAAGATAGAATGCCACGCGCGTTTCTCACATTTTAGCCCGAGACTTGGAATGCCTATGCCCCATGAAAAAAGAACATACACTTAGAATGGGGAACCA